CTTATAATTGAGCTAAACCAAGACAAAAATTAGAATAAAAAAAAGCGAATTCGGTTGACACTTTGCACGAAATTGAACGTTATGAAGTTATTGTTTGAAGTAGCACAATTTGAAGATTTTCTAGACATATCAGTGAGAGAGGAGATACCGTTGAATTAGGAGCAGATACTTTTCGTAACTGTGATATATTTAAGTGCTTGGGAGGGAGAAGTGACGGCAAACAATAATTTGGAAGCTAATATAAAAGTCAGGATGTTTGCGATAACCTGATGTTTCCATTCCAAGACTGACCATGAAAGCATAGCTTGTGCTATACAAAAAGATCATTTTGTATGGCAGTGAGAAGCTAAGGAAGATCTTTGGTGACGTCAGAGAGCAGGATGGGTGGAGAATCAGAACATTATATGGTGATACTCATATTCATAGTGTTATTAAGAAGAGCAGAATCAGATGGCTGGGTCATGTTAAAGGACTGGATCTCAATAGACTGCCAAAAATTATGATGAATGGTACACCAGGAGGAAAAAGATAAAGAGGTAATCCCAGCCATCGATTTTTGGATGATGTGGAAAGAAGTCTTGTGGAGGCTGTGGATCAGAAATTGGAATATCCTTGCTGTGGACCTCGAGGAGTGGATAAAATGGTGGCAGTGGTCCTACAAGGGTTGTAGCGCCCATTGAAGACTAAGAAAAAGATTTTTTACAACGCAATTCTATTCGTGTTCATTTAAAAACGAGTTTAAACATTTCAAAATACACACTAAATACAAACATACGAAAATCTGGTTTGGTGCGCGTATCACGTATCTTTCACTTACTACCCTTCTTTTAGCAGAAATAGATATCTTCAGACAAAGAGAAGTGAAAGTAAAACTTTCAGATAGTATAAGATATTTTTTAAAACAATTACCATATGTTTTTCACAGCTGTCTAATATATTATATTTGTTTTGTTTTTTCACTAACCATTTCATTTAACTGCTGTATATTTTAATTATTTATTTGGTTAACAGCAATCTATATAATTTAAATTTTTTTAAGTGGTTCTATAATAAGGTTATAATATTATCTAGTATTATTGTTTGGTCGATATATATATACCAGATTATGATTGTGGTTTGTCACTGTGTATTTTTTTTTTTCAGGTAAGTGAAAATTATATCCTTATATCCGAAAAAGTAACAATGAGTAAGGCTATTTTTTTTTTTTTGTATAGATAATATTTTATATAAATAATCGAATTAGTTTGAAAAACAATAGGATTAGTAGATAAATAATTTTATCATATAATTCAATAATATATATTTCATAATTGACAATAAGGTCGAACGACATTAAATTTTCAATTTTCTACCTGGATTAACCTTCTAGTAAATACGTTTTCCATGATAATAAATACAGAGCTAGCCAAACTAATTTTAAAGAATAGGGCTTTAAACAAAGTTTTGTTTAAAAGAAATGTGGTTCAACCAAAACTGTTTACTTTCTTACTTATAACAAAAAATAATTCGTACATAAAAAATAATAACCGAAATTATCTACCTCGACAGTTATTGATACAAAAAAATCTGTTAAATATTATTCAAGTTAAATAGTATTTATACATGTTTAAAAATGTTTGACTTGTATTAATTAAATCAAGATTGTTATATTAATCTTTTTTAGATTGATTAAACTTTATAAATTAAAAATATTAAAATTATCGAATGCCACTAAAATTAATTTAATAAAATATTATTGTGTTATCTTCTATTTTTTTTATTGGTTGACGCGTATTTTCAAAAGAAACCATATTACACGATTTTTTTACATTAAAATTGAATAATTATTACAATTTTCATTACGTTTTTAGTGTATTTATATACAAGAAAATTTCTTAACAGAAGTCATATCGTGAACATTAACATCAATAAACAGAAATCCAATTTTATAATAACACTTTTAAAAATTTAGTTAATTTGCATATTTTGAAATTATCATTTGAGAAGTTTATTATAAATATAACTGTTCTTTACGAATTTAAAAAAAAGAAAGATATTTTTATTTTTACAGTTCAAACTTCATTTCGAAATATTAAAATTTTGAAACATTTAAAAATTCCTTGAAAAAATATATTAATAGTAACGCAATACTAGGACATGAGAAAAGCTTTTGTAACTCCAGAAAAAAAAAAAAATTAAACTTTCAGCATAAATTTTAGTTTTCTAAAAGATTATTTGACCAAAATTTAAACAAAATATATAATTGTAATTTTCTTTTAACAAATATATTTATTAACAATTTAAATTATATCTAACATAAAACACTATTTCTACAACTTAGTTCATAACCACAGACACTAGAGGATCTACAATTTAATTTTGGGGGGAGGGGAGGACTTCAGCCCGGTAGATTTTTTTTTTAATATATATAAGGATAATTAATTTGAAAAAAAAAAAAGAAATTAACTACCTATATGAAGTGATTCTTGAAGTCCTATTAAATGTAATTATACGAACAATAATACTTTAAGAGATAGTTCTTAATATTTTTTTTTGAAATATTATTATTATTATAAATATGAAAAATTATTATATTGACCTCACCATTTTGTGGGGAGAGGGCTTCACCCTCCCCCCCCCCCACGTAGATCCGCCTGTGATCACAGCTAAATTGAGAATGAATGTAGTATAAAATTCGACCTTTTGATAAAATCAGGTAGATGGGTAAATATAAAATAGACCCTCTTAGAAGAGAAAATTATAGAGAACGTTCTTTAGAAATGAAAATAAAAATTTCTGATCTCCGTGAAAGCAGCTTTTATTTTATAGAAATGTTCGTAATGTAGAAAATTAATTATTTCACAGTGTATTCTATAATAGTAAATATATTGTTGAAAATAAGTCCATTTTAAAAATAATGATTACTATGTTGTCGTAGTAGTTGATCCTGGGGAAAAACTAATTTTACACGAATAAAGTAAGAAATAATCATTGCTTAATTGATATCGCTACATCAACGGAGGTAAGTGCACACATATTTAGAAAGGCCTAAAATTTGCTGAAAGAAACAAAATTTCTAAACTTAAGAACTTTATATGTTCTAACACACGTCTCTTAATTTAATTAATTAATATTAACTTAATTTAATGGAATAATTCTAGTTAGAAAAATACTATATAAAAACCTTCTAATTATATTTGTAATTATTTAATCGGAATATATTTAAATTGCCGATTTTGGCAATCAATTTAAGTGTGAAAATTAAGGTACTCAAATACCTTTTTTACCTACTATACAGCAAAAAAGTATTAGAATAACTAATTTTTATTACATAAATTCATTGCAAATATATTTTTTTACAATTTACTATTTTTACTATATGGCAATAAGAACCGAAATGCCCACTTGCCGGATTCGTTTCCCCTACACCACAAGTCCCAGTCTATGCATATACTAAATATTGTATTAATTTATTATTTAATTATAGAATTTCAAAAAAATCGGTGAGCCACCCAACGTAAGCTCACATTGTTAGTGACTTTATGCAATAAACCGAAGATATTTCTTTTATTTATTGGTATGGTTTTGGAGAATGTGCCATATTATTATGTATTTAGTTAATTAATCAACTCAATATGATGGAATAATACTACTTTTATTTCAAATAAGCTATATTTATAGTCATTTAGTTGATTTGTTTTTAGGGGCACTCAAAAATAAATTCACTCCCAGAACCCATTTGCTGAGAGGGATACTCAGTACTTTGTGTCTAGGTACGTTACTGACTACCTTTGCATAAATTGTCTCTTTCATACATAATAATTTTAAATAAACCTTCTGACTATAATTATCAACAAAAATGGGATTAGAAATTAATATATTTTTAACAAGTCAGTAAAAATTTTAATAAAGTTAATAATAGTTTAATTATCAACACAATCTTTTAATTGACCTCACACTTTCACACGTGCCTCATCAACACCTGGAAAAGGTTATCACTTTTTTCTTTTCAGCACATTCATGAATAAAACACTTCACACAAACTAAAAGAGGGTAATCCGCAACCATTGGAAGTGATGATGAATATTCATTCCGTTCCACCGCTGGGTCATCAGCTTCTTCTTCGCTCTTATTCTTCTTTCGCCCCGGAACAGAGAGGAGGAACCGCGCCGATGATGCGAGCTAGGAGACTGAACTGTAGCGCACAAAGAGGAGGCGCACATGCCGTGCCGTGGTGGCTGCGTGATGGGACAGCACACACGACAGATAATTATCATAAGTTCTGTTCTCCGCAGCACCGCTAGGTATCCAACATCGACGGGGCAGGTGTGTGCTTGAGGAAAACCGTTCTCCATCAACTCCCACGCGAAGGCGGCAGAGGGTGGCGGCGTGACGGGAGCAGCAGGAAATGGAGTTTCGGAACAATCGAGGAGAATCATTTGGTGGATTCCGTTCAGTAAGATCATTCTATCCCATTTGATTGCCGCATGAAATACACAGATCCTGATCTAAAAAGAAACTCAAAATGAAGGGCATTTCTCATAGACCACGGCTGTTGTTTCGGAAATTAGACTTTACAAAACCGATATTCTTTCTCAGTTCTTTATGGATGCGAAACATGTCCACTTACATTCAAGAATCAGCAACGCCTTAATGTTTTTTTTTAAATAAAGTATTGCATAGAATATTTGGACCAAAGAATGATCAGTCAATCGGAGAATTTAGGCGGTTACACAACGTCGACTTGCGCGAACTGTACTCGCTTAATGTGATAACTGAGGTGATCACGTTAAGGCGACTATTATAAATCAACAAAGTTTATGCCTTTTGAGCTATAGAGTAAGAAGGTATATATATATATATATATATATATATATCCACATAGTTAAGTTAGATATTCTATATTATAGATATGTAATTACCTAACTATTTACTTCCATTCCATTAACTAACGCTTATATTTTATAGTGTTGTATTAAAAAACATTGAGAAAAATGAAAGTTATATTCGTAAAAACTTACATAGGGAGAATCCTAATTCGGCGTCCTTTACTGGCAACATACCTTTTTCCTGAAACAAAATAATGACGGTGAACAGGAATTTTCATTATATCATTAACTATAAAAATTATTTATAATTTTTTAAAAGAGCGTATATAGTTAAAGAGTAGGAAAACATCCAGAAAAGAAAAGCCGAAGAATATAAAATACTATGAATGAAAACGATAAATGAAGGCTAATTTTCTTGAGACCATAGTGTGTTTAAGGTGTTAGTCACCTTAGCAACCTCGATCAGCAATCTCGACTTTTCAATTTGACAATAAAAGTAACTAAAGAGAACCTTATCTTTCTTGCCCTGGATGAAGTAACACGCTTTTTATACTAAATAAATAATAATAGGTGAATGATATGAATGAATGAATAAAAAATAATTTTATTCTGGGACTACAGTCTTCTAAGAATAATAACAGAGTTACAAATTTATGGGTCTTTGTCTGGCTTAGAAGATTACAACATATAAATAATTAACTGTTGTTTGTTATTGCAATTGTGCAGTTGATTGAATTAAACAGTACAAAGACGTAAGTAATTTCACTTGTTTGCGGAAGTTTGAATGTGAAGTAGGTGGTGGAACAGGAGTTGTTTAAAGGAATTTGTGGATGAGAATTGACGTATGAAAGTAGGAAGAGAGTTCCAAAAGAAGGACGAATGATGAAGGATTTACTGAAGGAAGTAGCTATAGGAGGGAATATATAAATGTTTAGGCTGAGATCTGGTATTAAGTGAGTGGATGGAGGAACGTAGAGTAAGGAGTTCCAGAATGAAGGGAGGGCTTTTGGTTCTGAGGACTTGAAAAAGGAAAACACCAAGGAGGAATTGTCGTCGGGAAGTAGGATAAAGCCACTTCAACTCGGTGTACCAGAATGAAACATGAGAACGCCTGGGGATCCCGAAGATGTATCTTATGAAACAATTCATGAGTTTCATAAGCCTCATTTCTAGCCTGGCAGATAGCCCTCCAGAAACCAATTTTCTATTTTTTATCTATTCTATAATTTAACTTTATGAGCAACGGTTTAAAAGTATAGTATTTTTTTCGAAATAATAACCTTTATTCCATTAAACTTAAAAATCATAAAAAAAGAAAGAAAAATAATAATTTTTTTTTTAAAACTTTTATTATGATATTTACAACTGTATTAGTATGAATACATCTAGTAAATTTTTACAGAGAAATAAAAAAAAATAAAATAATAATAATAATAAATCCATTGGTTAAAAAAAAAAACAAAAAAAAAACAGAATGTAATATTTTTATTAAATTGGGCCTTCCGATTAAACGTACCTTCCATGAAATGTAAAACCTCAAATTTTAGAATAGTTTATATTCTTTTTCTAGGCCGATTTAAGATACAAGAAAATTAAAAAAAAAAAAAAAAAAACCGATGTAAAGTAAATGATGGATTTTTCTGTTATTTAGAAAGCTCGAAAATGAGCACTAAAACTTATATTCGTTATGATTTCGTAAGAAAAAAAAAATAATTTTCTTAAATTTATATCCTAGGAGAATCTGATAATCATTAAATAAATACCTAGGTAAAGAAAAAACAGTTCAATCCTTTTCCTCCTCCGTATATCAAACGATTTCCTTTTTTATTTTTATTTAGTAGCTGTTGGCGAACTTTGTTATCAAAGTAAAATATTTGGAAGCAGAGTATATAAATGAAAATGAAAATATTAGTTTATTCAAAACCTCTAATCTCCTAAAGTTCTTCGCTGATTGCTTTGAAAAGTTTATACAACGTTACAATCAAATTCAGGAGTGTTTTATAAACATTTCATTAACATTCGGCCTTTCGTTTCGAAATTCCCGCCGAAAATCGTGATTTTTAAAGTCTTTTCCTTTAATATCTTTTAATTTAGATAAAATACTTCCTCGAAAAGAGGTAGAAAAAAAAGTAAGGCGGGATTCAGAATTTTATTTGCAAATAGCTCAAAAAGTGAATAAGTTTTATACTTAAACGTTGAATATATTGTCTAATAAATCTATCTAATTTGCCCTTTTGACTTTGTCAGAGCGATCAGCTGTTTATGATAATGACCTTTCTCTGTTGTCCATTTTCGTTTCTTTTTTCTTTAGTATTTATTATTATTTCTTTTCTCCTTTTGATTTATATTTTTATGCTTTATTTATGCACTTTAGTAAGTGAGTATATTTTCTTTGTTTTCATCTGTTCCTTTTCGCTAATCAGCTGTTTGGTTTTAACCTTCCTCAGCTGTGTGGAAATGTGCTCTTATATTCAGTTTGTATTTGGACGCTATTGAATGACGTAATCTTGTATTTTTTTTTTTAAATGGTGTTGTACATTTTCTTTATGAGCTGTAATAGAATATGAAAAGTGGACGTGAATGATAATGATGATCAAAGAAGAATCCGGAATATAACCAGAAGGCTGTTGAGTTGAGGAAGAATGATATCGTCCAGAACGATTTTAAAATCTTGTTATCTAGTCATTGGCACCGGTTATTACAATATAGATTCATAATTTTAGAGAAATTGTTAACTGTGCATTAAAGAGTAGGCATGGGGATTTTAGTTATTAGTTCTTTATTGAGTACTTGTTGCTAATGGAACTATCGAAGCGCCACTCATGAGCTATAAGGGCCATAACGTGGTTAGGTAATCCAGACTGAGCGACAGGACACCCCCAACTGTCGGTCCAAAGGATACAGCCAGCACCTTCCTTTGTTGGAGACGTCGAATGTTTTTGTAATCCTCCTCTTGGAGCTATAATAGAGGCGGCGAGTCCTCGACTGCACGCAACCCCCGGGCGGTTCTCAGGCCCCGCCAACAAATTTAGGTTCCCTTCCTTTCTCTAACCTACCGTCTAATTTTCTCTAAAGGTTCCTCTGGTAAACCTTACTTAGTTTTACAATATCTGTGTTGTAACATCCGCGTGATAGAGACATCTGCCATCATTAATATTCTTCTTCTCAGCCTTGAGTTTTCAAAAAATACTACACTGGGTCTGAAACTAGACGACGAAAATTTGTACCAAAATATTACAAATTACAATATTACAAAGAGTCCGCGGTACAGACTAGTGTTGGGTATTTCTGCTAATAAAAAAAACAAACGTAAATCATGTTAGTTGCCAGTTCCAGTGGAGGTCACCCCCTCTCCCCCTCTCCCTCTGGAAGATGGGGAACAATTTTGTCTTGAAAAAGTAACTGAACAACCGACATTCTTGTTATTATTTTAATTTAAAAGTGAATTTTATGTATTAAGCTTGAATATATACACTAAAAATTCTCCAGTTACTGGAAAAATAGCTTAATATTGTAGCTGAAATTATTTGTTAGAGTACTCTGACCTAATGCTGCCCAAAATCGGTCTTGGTCTTGCAGTTTGCAAGACCGAGACCAAGGCCGCCTATCTGTTCCAAGACCAAGACCAGGAATGGTAAAAAAAAAAAAACGATTTTTTGAATAAAAATTAAGAAGAAATAGTAACTGATACTTGACAATCTTCATTACTATTTGTAAATAATTTGTATAACCAGTATACTTTTTCATTTAACTAAAATACCAAGTGGAAGGCCGAAAACCAGATGGATAGATTGAATAAAAAAAGATGCAATAGAGCAGTATGCAGATAACTGAAAAGAAATAGCCCAAGATAGGCAGATTTTGAGAAGGTTAAAAAAAAAAAAAAAAAAAAACTAGAATTAAATTTCAACTAAGAAGAGGAAACGATAATAAAGAAATATCATTAGTAGTACTTACATCATACTCATCTTCCTCCTTTTAATTTGTTAGCTCCGCGCGAAGTTGCCTGGGCGCCATACCAGTAACGCCATTGCGCGATCTCCCTGGAGGTCCAGGCCCAAATGATGACACTGGGAGTGTTGTTCCGTTTTGCCCTACATACAAGCAGTCTATTCTCAATATCGGGTTCAATTTATAAAAATGTATCATTGAATAAATAATAGAAAATAAACTTAAAATTATATTACTTTAAAATTCCAGTGGCCTAACTATTATGAAAGGGGGAAGGAGCAGGTATGGCCGAGTAATAAATTAATAGATATAATATTATTTTTAAATAATCCAAAAAAAAAAAAATTTAAATGATGCAATTTAAGCGCTTAATATCTGCGTCAAACCCCCAACCGTTAGGCCACTGTGCTAAACCTTATTATGATCACGCAATGGCGTTACTGCAAGACGCCCTAGCGACTGCATTTATATCAAGTCATAACATTTTATTATTTAATATTCTATTTATATTTTTTTTTTTTTTTTAAAGTGACAATATTGTTTGACAATAGAACAGACTTCTCTCTTTTGACATACTTAATCTAGGATTCATAATACCTTACACGCCTTCAGCAAACATTATTTTCTTTTATATAGCTACTTATCTTAACATTTCTATAATTACTCATGATGATTACTTATGAATGATTTTCATTCGATAATTATAATAATAAGATATTGAGTGATTCTATGGAAAAACCTGGCCGAAAACTATATGTTAGGTCAAATTTGACTTATTCCATGGATTCGCTCCAATATACATTTCATCAAAGACATCCCTTACAAAAATGTATTTCTGGTGTAAATTTTACATAAAACAAAACACTCAACTTTACTTTTAAGACTGTGTGAACTCAATGACCAACTAATTTTTTTTAATCCTAATATTAACGTTTAAACTAACGAAAACTTCGGATCACTTTAATTATTTTGATGAAAACGTAAATATTCGAATTTGGGACATTTAGTTGGCCATTTATATAAATACGTATCATTCCTACAACAGAGATTTTGGTGAAAACCACAGTTCATTATCATTTCAGATGATAAATATATTAAAAATTATTACTTTAGCTTCCTTTTTTAAAAGTATATTTATACATTTATATTTATTACAATACATCCCACATGTCATGAATAAAAAAGAATCTAAAGCTTTGAAATAATTTATTGTAGCCATTTTTACTGAAAACATGGTTACTTACTTTATACTACACACAAAACCTTTTTCACACAACTAGAAGTGATTTTCCAATTTATTTCTTATAATCCTTAATAAATATTGACTCAACTTAATTAATATGTAATTAAAGCTTATTAAATGAGCTTATTTTTTTTTACTTAAAGTGGTTATCAGCAGTTTAGTTGGAGGGTAATAAAAAAATAATTGCAATATTAATTGCATGTATTTTTTTTATTGCTTCCTATCCAACAAAAAACGTGGCTTATCTAAAAACTTGAATTTTCTACTTTTCTGCTAAAAATCGGACCATTGTTTATTTAAACTTTTTTGTAATTCCTGAGGTCTGCTATCACCCCTTTAAATATTTCCTTCTACTTACGGGATACCCTACATATATCAATTTAAAAAAAGAAAATTATATCTGATTTTTATTATTTCGACTATAAATCAATCAATACAAGAAAAAGTGGTCAAAATATATTACCTAAAATTTTGTTATAAAACTATTGTCTATTAGAGGAGAGGTATGAATAAAAGAAAGAGATGCATAATTATCCTTGCCCTTCCTGATAAAATCATGATTCTGGCCCTGTGTTAATAAATTAGAATTTCCATATACTATAGAAAGGTCAATATTGTTTTAAGATGGAAAGGAGCAGTGTTAGATTACCCATATAGACAGTATATAAAACTGCTTATGGACCCAAGATAGAGCCAATTAGGAGTGAAATATAGTAAATTATGTAGTGCCATCATAATCAGCTGTTAGAGGTGCAATCTGAATTAAATTAAACCTAAACTCTTAGAGTTTGTTTTTCTGAGAAGAAGTTGGGAACTGAGCCATTTTTCCAAAAAGTAAGAATATCTTATAAGAATTGCTTAAGCGGAAAGAAAACTATTACAAAATAAATGAAAACTTTGACAGATGTATTAGACATCATATGTTAGCTGAGAAATCATATGGTTCTCAATCAATATATTAGCTGAATTTTACCGTAAAAATTTTGTCTGCTTCACAGAATTATAAATTATCTGAACCAGGTGGAAATAAGAGTAGACATCTGAGTTGATATTGGATGTTTTTTGCATTACATTTCTCTAAGCAAGACTCAAGTACTTTGGAGGCTGGATTACTCAATTCTGGAAGAAAGAGCTAAATACTGGATCAATGGGTAATGAGATCATAGTTGAGACCCTGGTTTGGTTATTAGTCACTTACTGACAACCATAAATACAAAAATATTATTATCAAGGATTGCAGATGACATTGCTAAAATCATGTTATAAGCAGTGCTGAAGTGTCCAAAAATATTTCTGACTTGTTCAATGTATTTATTCATAGTCTGAACGAATCTTGGCTGAATAAATCAAAAGTCTCATTCTGAATCCTCAAAAGGTAAATAATTCTCCTCATTGGAAAATAAAGTAAACGAAAAATATCTGCCACCAAAAGTTGAGAATGATTTTTAAAAAAACCAATATGTTCTGCTTAATAAGTGAAGTCAAACATCGAAGAATTGCCCTAAGTCATGAGCTGAAATATCAAATTTCTGAGCCCGAGAACAAACTATAAATATAAGCAGAAGCTAAAACACCAACTGCTTTATATGTTCCTATAGTAAGAGGGTATAAAGCTGTTACAAAACAAAAGGATTGCTGACAGACTAAGATTCAGAGACTTTTAATGAGAGATGGAATTTCAATTTCTTTTGGAATATTTGAAGCAATCATTGATGTTCGGAAATTATACTTAAGGGATAAAAGACAAACCAATAGAGGAGTAAAGTCATATGAGAATAGTGATAGTGTACTAATATGTCAAATGTTGGCAGATTCAGCAGAGTAGCTGAAGTTCATAACACATGAAAAGTTAACAAAAAACTACTTCATTTTTTAATGAGAACATGTGAATTTCTACATTCTTGCGTATTTCATAATGGAGACCTTTTGTATAATTGGAGGTCATCATTTTGTCATCTTGCATTTAGTGTTTACTATAACCATTTCAAATAGTAAACATTCTCTTCCAAGTTTTTCTTTCAACAATTTACTTTAATTTTCTTACGATTATTCAAGATGCTAAGCACATTGGGATAATTGCCCAGTTAGATTCCCACCTGGATCAGGTAATATTTATTTCTCGGTGGTCCTGAGAAGTGAATCTTGACACTCTCACTCCGGTTTGTAAAGGGCAGCAGTTTTTAAGTAACATCAGGTAATGTAAACAAAGTCCACAAGAGTCAACTCCTGAATCATTTCCTCAATCAACAACAGAACCATTACTATCATTCAATTTTATTCTATCCCAACACAATTAAGAATTCTCAGTAATTGGCAAGAAACCAAGGCCTCATAATGTCTAATTGAACATATAGAAAAAACAACAAAAAAGAGTTATGAATTATTATTTTTATTTGCTGTCCAGCTTATCAATAACTATAACCTTTGCTTAAATAATTTAATAAGAAATATAAACTCTAACACATAAAAATCATTAATAAAATTTGAATAATTAGTAATTCATTTATTCAGTAATCTTCATTTTAAAATTTAATGAAAGATAACAATTTGAAAAAAATAGTAATAATAAATTAATTAAAAATTTATATCAGTTATATCTTACCCTAACATTGATCTCATCTTTTGCTACCTCTGCATTATTACCACCATCTGGACCACCACACGGAATGCCTTTCTTTGCTGTACAAGTACCAGGATACAAATATAAAATTAAAAATAACCATAACCTAAACATGAAATGTACACATATCTACATTTCATTGTATTAAAATGGTAACAGATGTGATAATATAACAGGCTTGAGAAAATTTTATTTTTTTAAAGTGAGAAAACTTTTATGATGTACAGCACATGTACCATCTTCTTATGTACTTAATAAATTGCATTGTCAAAGATTCATGTCTTACTTGAACAGTTGTTTCTTTTTGAAAATTATAATTTATGTCCATTCAGAAATACTGTTTTGTAGGAAATAATGGAAATGTAATAGACATATTGTAATGTAATAATATGCTATTCTAACTCTTTATGATAAATTGATTTTTACATGGTTAACAAGTACTGCTAAAATATAACATTTTTTTATAATGAGATTCTTAAGACAGTGGGAAAAATATATTCTTAAATTGAGGTACTCAGTTCAAATATTGTATTAACTAAATTTTAAAAAAATACAATCTTATAATGTTTCTTAGCTACTAAATATGCTATTAATTATGATTAAATAATTTACCTCTGGCTTTAAAAATCTATTTCATAAAATGATTATTTTATTTGATTCACTCAAAGTCAGTGATGGTAGAACTTGATAATTTTAATTGCTGTGACTGATAAAATATTTCCACTCACTAATTCTTGTGTTAATTATATTTTTACTTCAAATTCATATCCTTCTAAAAGTGGACATAAATGTTCCCAAAAATTCTTAAATCTTCTCAAGTTGTCTCATTTTTTTATAAGTTTGCAATCATTTTTATTCTGATTTTAGTCATCATACATCAAACTAAAAACCGGGTGGATAGTTTGTTTCTAAATAAATTATTTTGTATTTTATATTTTTTCTAAAAATAAAGATGATTTTCTTCAGAAAAATGTATATACCTGCTTCACTCAGCCAAACCCACCATTACTTCCAAAACAGAGGAATGTTATTGTTTTCATTGGAATTTAAAGTTTTAACCAAATAAACTGTTTCACAAACAAAAAAATATGCTTAAATTGACAAATTAATATAAATATTCTAAGAAATTATGTATCTATGTTTTAACAATCAAATAACTTTTATAAAAAATGTACATTTTGATTTACGGTAGTTTAATTAAAGCAAACAAATTTCAATGATTTTACATGAGTATATGTGAGGAGGGGTGAGGAGTGAGGTATTGAAGTGAATCTGAGGTAGCTGAGCTCCATCTTCTAACGGGGAGCTGGGTTCGCTTATTTTAAATAATAATTTAAAGACAATTAAAAATAAATACACATGATATATATTTTTATTAATCTATTCAAGATCTAGATTAATAAAAATACATATTTATGTATCTGTATTAATCCAGCTCTTTTAGATAATTATTTATTCTTTCATATCAGCAGTGGATCGAATGGGAAGCCTGGTTGTCGCCTACTAATAATTACCTTCTTACACTACCTTTGAAATCTCATCTAATCTCTCTCAAAGATAATCATCCTCACTCTGAATGGAACCGCTGATGCAATAGATAAATGATGTATTCAAATTATTAATTAATATGCCTCATCTCAGCTATAAGACACACTAACATTCGAAATTATTCTTACTTATGTTATGTGATATTTAACATTATTAAGAGTTCAGCAGTCTAATAAATAGATCGAGTTAGGTTATTAGTAGCAGTATATTGACAAAACAAATGTTTAGTTTCTTCAGTAAGTTTGAATGCCTGCAGATTAGCAAAAGCTAACAAGGATTTGTGATAATGTGATCCTTGTGACAGTAGAAGTTGAAATCAACAAAATATTATTAAGAAGATAAAGAAATGTATGTTATAATATGTCTATTATACAATCATTTTTTTTTTTTTAATAAGGTAAGATATTTATTTAAGTAATAAAATAGAAATTAGGAAATCAGTTATTACCCAAAACCAGGTTTATCTGGCTATATTTTTTTGGTACACGGTTTCTAAAATTAGTATTCAATATTTATCGGGTAACCGGTTTTTGCAAATAGTACCCTGTCACTACACAGTGTCATGTACCAAATTTTATATGGGTAAATTTAATAGGCAACTAATAATTCATAAGATAAAACTGGATATTTTTATTTTTTTAATAAATTAAAATAATAAACTGGATATTTTGTTAATAAATTAAAATTAGTTATTTCTTCTACTCACGAAATAATATTAATTCCATAGCTTATAAACATTATTCTACCACAAAAGGAAATGATTATTATTGTAAAGTTTCTATTTAATTTGTTTCTGATCTGTAGCCTTTAGTAGTAAACTATATCACCTGTAAATTTAGTGGTTTATACTAATCATATTGAAAATTATTTTGATAAAAGACCATGGGAGCCCCATATTGGTTTGCTGAAATCCTTCTATCCTAATGATACATGATATAATATATAGATTAAACCTGATCATAATTAATTATTTAATTTACAGATTTATACAATATTGTAAATAGCTTGTGAGCATATTTATGTAGGTGTTCATAATCATTGTCGTGACAACTTCATAGTTTTGAGAGTAAATTCACTACAAAAACTTTATAATAACTAAAGGTCACGTGGATAAAACAATAGCGTCATTTTCAAAAAAAGCATACATTCGATGTCATGTTTCAAAAATTCATAGTTCTCAACCGAACAAGCTTATCAAAAATCTGATAAAGCTCTTTAGTTTCAATTTAAAATGACTATAAACATGATGCAAAATAATCTTTTTTATGACCTATATGTAATTGTAAAGAAAAGTAAATCTAATGAATATCATGTTCCATCAGTGAATATAGATTTTTAAATTACTGATATCTCTTAAAAGTAAAAAAAAAAGTCACATATTCTGTAAGACTCTCTATTCACAGTATATGAACAGGTTTTGTTCAATAGGCTTCTTGTTTTTTGAAGATAAATAGAACCAGATATGTCCATCAGTACATAGACACTGACAACCTCATTAACATCACAACTGTTATCACAATATTCCTTCAGTTTCATAAGGCAAAGAGAATTTCTATTTTAATCCCAACAGTCAAGTATTTATCTTCAGTTGGTGCTGTATTTCTAAACTGAATATCTTTCATGTGAATATAGATCCATGAGAGAAATATGATATACTTATTGCAAAATTTCATAACTTCTACAACTCATGAGTGTCACACAGTCTGAAACTTAGGGTATATTTACTTCACCCAGATTGAAAATAAAAAAATTCCTGAATATTTCTTATAATCAATATTAGATATTGATATGCAATAAGCATTGTATGGTTTAAGAAGCATAGGACTTGTTAGAAATTTAATTTTTAATATTAAACTTTAGTGCAACAAACTACTATTAAAAAGCCATTGGTACAATTATTTGAAAATTAATCAAACTTAAATTCTGATAAACCTAAATTCAAATCATCTTCATCCACTAAAGGCAGATCTTTATTGTCAATAGACACCTATATCAACTCAGCTAATGATTTAAATGTTGAATTTATATAATTAAACGAGGAAATATTAAAAACACATCACTTAATGCATCTATGCTTAGGAATAATTCAGTTTTTCTCAAAAGTTCACTTATAACCTTTATTCACTTAATCCTTCAATTGTGAAATTATTGTGGAACACCTGATATTTTTAAATGAAATCAGAGAATATTTTTTAAAAAACAAATAAATAACCTTTTAAAATAAAGGTTATTAAAAGTTGGGTGATAAATATTCAGGACGCAATCATTATAAAGTTTTTATGTGAGTGACCCCAAATATGTGGGTCATCATCAGGGCGTGCTTGGATCACTGAAAACATTCAAGTCGTTTGGGTTGCATCGTCGGCGCCAATAAAAACTTCATAATGACTGCCTCCTGAATATTTATCAGCCATGATATGTAGAACAGTCGATAAACTTCCTACAATAGTTATCAAAACTTGTTTTGTTATTAAATTTAATTATATATGTGTAGCTATTGTAAACTACAATCTGCTTTCCATCTTTTTCATTTCAAGCATGTGGAATATATGAATAAATAAATATTTGGTATGCGTTGTATTTTTCCCCATTGATGAAAACTGTCGTAGGATTGGTTCTCCATCTCATTCATTATTTAATAATTATTATTTAAATATAAAACATTGTGGAAGATTATTGCTTTTTAGTTATTTAAAATATGTATACATTTTATTGGAACATCCTGTTCATGAAATATAAACTTATTTACAAAAGTCTTACTTTACGCATGAATTATCCAAGCAATACGGTTTTTAATATGTAGCAAAACATCACAACAAAAAATATTTTCAATTGAAATAATGCTTAGGGGTATAACCAAAAATAATGCATCATACATAATTTTATATTATCTTATGCATGCCACAAGATAAAAAATTATTTACTGGGCATCTAAATTTTCATCTCACAATATCAGCGACGCTCAACAAATTCCTTGTTTTCAAGTAAAAAAGAAATATATAAAATTAGGCCAGGTTCAAGAAATAATATTCACTTCTAGATATATTTATATATATAAAAATAAATCTAATTTAAATTTATTTCAACAGATAATAAAAAGCATTATGGAATTTCGAACATAGTAATGTACCATTATATACACATTATTTTGTAAAGAATTATTATTTCATCTTTTGCAGAAAATTCATATCTTAAAAGCATTTTTAATTTACTATAATGAATACATGAAACATAAATATTTCATAAATATCAACAAAACAAAGAATAGTATATTTTATTTAGATGTAGGTAATATAAATATATTTTTTTAAACAAATAAAATCATATAAATGCATAATATATATATATCCAAATATACAGACAAGTTTACATTATAAACAAGAACTAGAAGAACCCTGGTTCTTCAGTTTATAATTAATTTTACCAGTACATAGTTTACGTTATAACCATTCTACTAGTGAACAACTTTATTCAAATTTACAAAGATCTGTTCAAATACATACAAGAAGTTAATTCTTCAGTCTTTCCTAACAACAAAAATAACTAATTAAAACCCAAATGGCAAGATATAGTCAGGAGTTACTTGAACAAATTCCACAACATATCTGATGAATCCTTATATATGATATAGATCTCCAAC